TTTTGGCTTTTACAGTTATTTTGTATGGACTCATTAAAGAGTATCAAATGCTTGGGATTAGGATTACTATGTTGAATGCTCTAGGTGTTGTGCTCACAGACCCACTTTTTCTGTCAAAAGTGCTCCAAAATCAAAATCTTGGTTTCTTGCTTGGCAACCAAATTAAAAAATCAAATTAAGAAGATACTTCCTTCTTTTCCTCCTTGGTATTTTCCCACCATTTGATAATTCCACTTGACAACATTAAATTACCTTCAAGACTGTATCAGCTACTAGATTTAGTAATGAGGGGAAAGTCAGGCAAGTCAGACCAAGACATGGTTGGTTGGGAATCAAAACAAAATTGGCACTTTTATGAAAAAGCATCCACATGTCTGTATTCTCTTGGCTGCTGGGTGTTGCATTCAGTCCCTAGTGTTTAGCAGAGGCTGCAGGGCTCCGGCACTGTCTGAGCCCTGAGGCCTGACCTGCAGCCTGTGCTGATGAGAGGAGGGGTCAGGGTGGATGGAGAGGGCTGGGGCCGTGCTTTGCCTCCCTCTGGCTGCTGGCTCCAGCTGCCTCCACACAGGCAATGGTTGGAGGCAACCTTGGATCTCTGGCACTGCTGATTCTGGTTATCAGCGACCTGTTGCCAAAGGAGGGTGTGCAGCAGCAGCTGCCTTTACCTGCAGGTTACAAGAACCAGAAGTGCTGTTCTCCACCCAGTGCAGGAGTGGGATGGCTTTGTCATAGAGTCAAACCAAATGCAGGTACAACTTCACTGGTAAAGTACAGGGTAAAGTGGTTCCTGTCCCTGCCAAGGCTGCCCATGGCAGCCCTTCCCAGCCCTGCCAGTTCTCTTTCCACCATGGTGGCTCACTGGGATCAGCAGCTCCCCAAGAAGGAACTTTCTTTTTACATGAACTGCCATGAGCCTTAGAGAGACGCCTCCTTCTCTCACACCTCAGTGTTAATAATAATTCAATGCACAGTAAAGAAAAAGATAAATCTATGTGTGGGCTGCCAGGCATTTTCTTCTATCAGTGTCCAGAACTCTTCAATGGTAGTGGTATCTGTTGGGGGCCCCAGAGCTGGACACACACAACATCTGGAGTGCTGTGTCCAGCTGTGGAGTCCCCAGTACAAGCAGGACATGGACCTGTTGGAGTGAGTTCAGAGAAATCCAGAATCACTCAGTTGATCATGGGGCTGAAACACCTTCCCATGAAGACAGGCTGAGCTGGGGCTGTTCAGCCTGGCAAGGAAGAGGCTCCAGGGAGAGCTTATAGCACCTTCCCCTTACCTTAAAGGGTAGAGAGAGAATTTCCACAGTGGTGTGACAGGACAAGGAGCCTTACCCTGAAAGGTTTAGATAAGGTTTAGGAAGGTGTTCTGTACTGTGAGGGGGGTGAGGCCCTGGCAGGGCTGCCCAGAAAAGCTGTGGATGCCCCATCTGTGGCAGGGTCCAAGGCCAGGCTGGATGGGGCTCTGAGTAACCTGGTCCAGTGGAAGGCTCCCTGCCCATGGCAGGGGGGCTGGAGCTAGGTGATCTTCAAGGTCCCTCCCATCCCCAATAATTGGACAGTTTTATGAACTCTAATTAGTTAATAGCAAGATGAAGCAAGTCTGCAGTAATATACAGCATATTAAAATGTCTCAAATGACATGAGACACATGAAGTGAATTACCTATGTCCTTTCTAACATATGTCCTTTCTAACACAGAAAAAATATTTCTAAATGAAGCCAAATGCAGTTTTTCACAGACTCCAAGGAATAGATGGTAGAAGGATGTTTGGAAATAGACATTTTTCATTATAATCCTGTGTTTGAAATGTGCTGACTGTAGAAATTTAGTATAAAATTAGTTCCAGGAGAGTAAACCTAGCAAAGATAATGGATGCTTGTTTTCTTTATCAGAATCCCTCAATTATGGAAATGTGGCAAATAGGTAATACCTCTAGGTTGAGTTGAATTAACAAGTGTTCAAAATGAATCTAAAATGTGTCCCTTTCTCAGACAAAAATCACACAGCACAGATACTCAAAAACTGAAATACATCTCTGCCTTTGAAATGATAGTTGTTTTTCTGCATCAGCTTCTTGAAAATGTCATGAGAGATTAGATCTGTTCACTGTTGTGTTGGTAAGCATATACACCCCCTGCAAAGGGCTGTCTTTGTTTACTGTCTCAGGCTGGGTTTTCAAAGGCAACTGCTCATTTGTGATACCTTTTATAAAGATCTTTACTTTCAGTAAACACTGGATATGAACTGTTACAAAACCAGGGTCCTTAGAGGAGCCTCCAGCTGGGCACGAAAAATGATGCAGGTAATGAGGAAGAATAAATGCTTCTAACACCCTGTCCTCAAAAGACAAAGTGAGAAGAAAAAGGCTAGATGACCACTAAAGCCTGAGTTTGCTTGTTGTAAATGCAGAGCTTGACAGAGCTACTACTGTCTGCTTGCTCAGTGTTGGCAGCTGTGTCCAGACCCTCTGATGGCTCGGAGTGGTTGTGCTCCCTCTGTGGGGTGGATGGAGCTCAGGTTGGCATCAGTTGCATTTCTCCTCATTTATGGGTTTCTGTCTGAAGGGCCAGCTGGCTCATTTCAAACTGAAGTACAAGGACAAGCTAATGACAGAAACAATGGGGATGATTGGGGAATTTCAGCGTGAGTGCAGTCCTGAGGCCTGACCTGATGTAATTAGTCAGTTTGCCCATTTTATTTTAGTCCTCCAGCTCTGTGGCTAAGCAAGGTATTTTCCATTGCTTGGGAGAGCTTTTGAAATTTTCCTTTCTTTGCAGCAGATGAGCTCAAAGAAAGAGAGACAGGTCTTTGTGAGACAGGCTTATCTCCACTGATGCTACACAGATGGGAGACACCCTCTAATTCACCTGAAATCAAATACTTTTGAGATTAAGTACCTGTTTGCTGCTCTCCAATTTTAAAACCTCCCCATAGATTTGCCCTTTGTCTTCAAAATTGCTTATGTCCCCATTGCTTTCTTTTCTGTCTTGGGGGGTGCAGTCAGTTGTATCTGTATCTGTCTACACCAGCTGAAGGCTCAGAACCTTCCTGTATGTTCTTCCATGGTGTGAAACCAGTTGCTGGGTCTGAAATGTGCACCTTTCTCAGGCCACTGCTGATGTGGGCATCTCATGCAGTAGATGACAGTAGGTGGTGTTGGGAACATTGCCCTAGAGAACCTGGAGGATAACAGCAAAGCAGCTGTAAAAGCAGAAATCAGAGTAGCACTGTAATCAGGTAAATGTGCCCACATAAGGAGGGAAATAATTAAGGAAGCTGGGTTTTTACTGTTCCTCTATTTCATAGGGCATATTTACACTCAGGGGTCAAGTGCTCATGGCAGGGAGTGGGTGGATTTTTTTTAGTCTTGTGCAATACCTACTGATTTATCATCCCATCCTTTCTCTGCTCAATCAGACCTTCATGTCCATTGCTACAGGAGCTTGGGGTTGGTAGAGGCAAATATGGACAAAGTGACAGCTTGGCAGAGCCAGTCAGCCCACAGCCCACAGAGAAGAGCCTACCAAGAATGATTTTGAAGGAGTGAGAAGCAGGAATCCACTGCCAGCCTGAGTTTCAGCTGATGTGAATGCAGCCTTGGCAGCATCAGTATCTTGTTAGCTTCACAGTTGGGAACCTGGCCCCAAAACCCCAACAGTGCAGCTCATCCCACACCTACAGATACATGCTTTCATGAACTAAGCAGGATGTCAGCTGGAAAGGGTGCAAAGCCCATCCTGATGAGTCCCATCCCAGCACTGCTGTGGTCAGAGATCTGGTCCATAAAACAGGTGATGATGATGGACAAAGCTGCATCCCAAAACATTTTAGTGGTGGCCTTGGCAGTGCTGGGTTAACACTTCGACTCAATGATCATAAAGGCCTTTTCCTACCTAAATGATTCTGTGATTCCATGAAATAATATGGTGAGCTTGTCTCTGCATGGCTCCTCAGCCCCAGAAGCTTGAGCCTGTGATGAGTTTACAGGCATTTATGTGCTGCACCCTGAATTAACAACTGACTGTTGCACTCAGAAAGGCAGAACAAGGAGCACAAATCCCCTTCAGAAAATGTACAAGCTTAAAACTATTTAGGTTGGAAGAGGCTTCAGGAGATGGTTCCAGTAAACTCTGCTCGAAGTAGGGCCACATCAGGTTGTGTGGAGACTCATCTGGTTGAGCTGCAGATTTATGTGTAGGTGGAGGTCCCACAGCCTGGTCAGGAACTTGGTCCAAAAGGTAACCACCTCACTTGGAAGAGGTTTTTCCTTGCATCTAACTGGAATATCTCTTGTTGCTTCTGGTGTCCGTTGCCTCTTGTCCTTTTGCTGTGCTTCTAAAGACAAGTTTGGGTGAAGGGGAAGTTACAAGTGACCTCCACTGTGGTGTGACGGCTGCACACCTCTGCAAGGGCTTTCCGAGCAGCCCCCAGCTCTGAGTGTGCTGTACTGCTTAGCAGGGGAAAGAGAAACTCTGCAACCTCCTCATTATTTTATGGGGTCTGATGGGGGGGAAGGATAGGGGTGAGATGTTTTCACACCTAGAAGCCAATGGCCAGTTCTCACCATCTTAGCCAGCAGAAAGGGTGTGGGAACAGCAAATACTACTTGGGCATTTGGCAGAGCCTTTCCAGCTTTTGGCTATCAAGCCTTCAGTAGTTAATGCAAATCCAACCAAACAGAAGAGCCCTGCTCTCTGGGATTCAGACTACAGGAAGAATAAACTGTGCTTTCACATGAGGCAATAAAATTCAAGTAGGATTTGTTAAATCATGCAAATGATTTCTGGTCTGCACTTTATCTAAGGAATGGATTAAGAGTTTTTTGATTGGTGAGTAGAGTTGATTAAAAAAAGTTCTAGGGTCACAATATATATTCTACAAGTACATTTACTAAGCTCAAACCTGACTTTTTTTCATTTTAGTTGAAATCATTATAATTTCTTTGCTCTGTTCTATACTCACAGTCTGGTTTTGGATTTCTGTTTTTCTCACAGCCCCAGCAGAGAGCTCTCCATAAACATTTCCAGCATCTAAAGCTGCTGTCCTGCCACTTGATATGAAAGTGAACTTTCCTTCATGAAAAAACCACAATAAATGGCGCTGCCAGAAGATGACCACAGAGGATTGAAGACAAACTTGAAGTAAAATCAGCCCACTCAGCTGATACATTCTGGGGAGACCTGGTTTGCTGTGGAGTAAATATGTGGTGCAAAACATCCAAAATATCTAATTTGTTGAAAATGGTCATTGACAGACCTTTAGCTGGAAAATTTCTTCCAGTCTTCATCACTGTGCATAACTTTTGAGTTCCCTTTAGGGGACTGTCTATGCCCTTCACTAGAAGTCCTGTTTTAGCATGGCAACTACTGGATTCTTTTATTATGTATGCAGATGGCATGATGTTTTAGGAAAAACTTACAACAATTCTCCAATCTCAGTGGATATGTTCACAATATTACACCCTGATAGGAATGTAAACGTCTTGTATGTGTTAGTTTTGCAGTCTAATGGTATTCTGTTAAACAATATCAGCACTTCATATGTGCTTTTCTCACAGAACTAGCACAGTCCATATATATATAATGGTCCTTTTTTAAAATACTGAGGATATGTTTCAGTGTTTGTGCTGAGACTGCATCCAAACTAAGCCCAGTACTAGCATCCCTTCACTGATTCACAGTAGGTTGTGTAGATAGATTTGCACGTGGCAGAGATGTGACTTCTTTTATCAAGACTTAGAGAAGAGCTGTCACAGAGGTAGCCAAAACCAGGGTAGTTTGAAGGAGCTGTAGGATACTGTGTCTGCTCTCCCTCTCACCCACCAAATGTCAAAGGGTCCTGTTGTTGGTGTGCCAGTGTGTTTTCTAACTCAGCGAGGGAGAGGCAAGGGAGAGAGCCTTTCTCAGACATGTATGTGACCCTGGGTTTGGTCTGCAATAAAACCAGAATAAACTGGAAGAATTCATGTTCTTTATGCTGGCCACCACTTCTGTTTTGGGCAGGGCTGGGAAATTGTAGTCCAAACCAAACTCTCTAAAAAGGTAAAGTGTAAGACTATACTTCTAGGGAGCAAGACACTCCCTTTGGAGAGGGCAGATTTCTTCATTAACTTTTTCCACTTTCTACTCAAAACATTATTTTGGTAGGAACTGGGAATAAGCAAATGGTTCCAATAAGCCTTTCAATATACTGTAGCAGGCTCATGACTGTTGCATTCAATCTGAACGTTGTTTTTTGTTCAGTCTCTGAATGGCTGACCTCATCACTGGTTGTATCACAGCTGGCTGTGGTGCTGTTTCTTCCATGGGGACTCAGTGGAATTTGTGTCTGTCCCTTACATCAGGACCTTCTCAGCACACTCTTTATAATGAACTGATGTCATCAACATTCTGAGGGGGCTTACCTCTTTGTTCCTTCTTCCTTTAAAATCAGAGGTAGCTTTTTTGTGTACTTAAAGACTGTCACTCTCTCCAGCCTGATAGAGTAGAGTTGCTGTTAGCATTAATTCCAAACTGTGCTTGAGACAATGCTGAGTGAAGGTGCAGTGATGGAGAGAATGTGCAGTTAGAGTAAGTCACAGGCACCTTTCTGGAGGAAGCTCCTGTGTTATAATTCTTAAAAATTGTTGTGCAGTTCATTGCTAGAGAATGGAAGGTCAACCACTGAGGGTGCCTGTACAACAAACAGATAATTATCTTCAGGGTTTATTTTTTTTTAAGATGGTTATGGGCTTAGGTTTCAGCTCTCCACCCGTCTCATATTCAGCATAGTGGATACTTCTATAGCACTCAGTGCAAAAGCAAAATATTTTTACTGGTGACAAAGATTTTCAGAAGTTGCTAGCGATTTTTAATGGTTTGGGTCTTTCCATGGATTCTCAAATGGAGCTCCCAAGAATTACAGAATAGTAATCTTCTACATTCTCTTTCTGAAAATCCTGGTCCCTAATTTCAAATTAATTGGTGTAAAAATTCTCCTTAAAACATAAGGATCTTTGCCAATTGCAACATTTGCACTTTTTAGAGCTTTTCATAGGGTTGCAGGTTGGAATCTGATACCAATAGAGCTGGCCATGTGCATGGCACAGGTCCACTGTAAGCTTCAGCAAATTTTACAGCTCTTTCTGCTACAGGTTTTAAAAATGCACTCTGACAACTGACATCAATTTCATGTTGGTAAAGGAGTTGAAAACAAAATACTTTGATTGATATGTTAAATTAAAAAGAGAATGCTATACTTCTAGAGTATCTCTTATTTTACTACCCAGTGAAAAAAACCCAGAATAATTTGAATGATAAAAGAAGAGTTTATCAGAGAGTGTTATCTTTAAAGGGTGTGCGAGAAGAAGTTGGGTTAGGCAGAGAGCCACTAGAAGCTTTTTTTGTATCAATGTTAGTTTTGAACATCTTCCAGTATATGGGCATGAATTTAGATGTGTGCACTTATCCTGTTAAAACAATTTGTTTTAAAAGCTTCCCAGGATTTTAGCTATGGTGACCTAGAAAAGCAGTGTTATAGGCCCTGAGAAATGTGAAAATCAAGTCCAGACCCTTGAGTAGCCAGACTCTGAGAGATGTCTGCTGTAGGTGCCTATTGGACAAACCTCCCCTGGAGCTGGTTTGGTCTCCATCCTGCAGCCAGCCTATGCATGTGGATAACTGCAAGCATAGCCCCCCGAGCCCCGTGACACTTCTCACGTGTGTGACTGCCAGAGCCATAAGGAAATAACTGTACTTTTTGGCTTGTATTTAACTATTCATTGTGTTTGGATTTTTTTAATCACTGTTATTCTCCCAAAGTAGGCCATGCTTCCTCAGGGATATTTATGAAATTGTTCTACATCTCCTGAACAACTATCTGGATCCCAGCATATTCTTCTGAAAACTTTTTAATATAAATAAACATGTGGGAGAGGTTTTTGTTCTTATGAATGGGGGCAGGTACTGTGTTCTCGGAAAGGCTGTTGAGTGCAGACAATCAAGTCTATTGCATTTTTTATGCTGAACACCTTATTAATACCAGACATATCCGCTTTTGCCTGGGTCGCAGGAACAGTTCAGGGGAAAGAATGCTTTATCTCCAGTCAATAAATCATTTATGTCGAGAGTGCCAAAGACCAAGTCAACATGAAAGGGAGCAAATAAGTTATTCCGGCAAAGGAAGTGAATTTAAATATGCTCAGAGCCATTAGTTCTCTGCAAAAGAGGGGAAGACTAATGCTGTTTTCATAAAGCAGCCATTATCAGCCAGTGCAGATAGATAAATTCATCAAGGCCGTGCTGCTGTTACAGTGATCACCAGTTATTATCTCTGAGACAGGGCAGGGTTGTGACCAGGACCCTGTTCCTGTGCAGACCTGCAGCCTTCCTCCCAGCCTGGAGCCTGCCCTGCTGCCACGCTCCCCTGGCTTCCCTGTGCCAGGTTCAGCATCAGATCCCTCCAGGAATCCCTGGCAGAGCTCAGCCATCCCGAGTGCTCCGCTCCGTGACACCTCCACCAGAAACCTGAGGAATTGCTCACCCCAGAGAGCACACTGCAGCTGGGATCATCCTTTGCACTGTTTTGTTCCTCATTTCTTTTTCAGCTGGGTGGCTTTCTGTGCCTGAACACCTGCCATTTACTCTGCTAAGGGAAAGGCAGCCTTCCAGGAGGGGAGTTTGGAAAAGCTCCATGAGCTCTTTGGTTTTGCTTGTCCAGATGCATGGCAGTGCTGCACCAGTGAGTCCACCCCTCCCTGTCTCTTCCTTAGGGTACATGTTGTCACTCAACTGCAGCTGCAATATCATTGAGGAAATGAAACCATTAAAAACTACAAAATTCTGGGTTTGCCCTGAATTTTCAGAAGACCCCATGGCAGACCGTGGCAGACCTCCATTGGCACTACTCCATCACAGGCTCCAGAGATGTGTAGATTAGTGCCAGCCAAGGAGCCGGCATCGAGGTGGCATTTTTTGTGATCACTAAAATGAACCTCCCTGCACCTGCCACAAAGCCAAAAGATCTGCATTATTCAAAATAAAGCAAAGTGAAACCCTGCATCTTTCACATTGGTCCCCCTTAAGAGTTACCATCTCTGCCATCAGAGTCTCCTTGAACAGCTCTGCTGCAGGACTGCAATTAACCCTGGTATATATAGGCTGTCAATAAGATTTTAATTTAAAAAGAGAAGGTCCTTTGGTATAATTAAAATTGATGGGTGAGGGGAAAATATGACCAGCATTACCTGCAACCTCTTATAGTAAAATTCAGGAAAGTAATCTGGAGGGCAAAAAACCCACCAACATAATGTATGGGTGATTAGGCAGGCTCATGAGGATAAATCAGCAAGTAAGGAAAGTAGATGCTTAATGAAGGAATCCAAAAATGTATGGGAAGTCAGTGGCAAATAGGTTAGGGCTGGTTACACCAAAGACTTTACATATATCCTAATAAATACTGCCATAGCAAAGCTAAGTGTGATGTTAGACAGGCCCAGCACAGAGATTGCTCACACTACATTGGAAACCCAACAAACAGTCTTGTTTTGTATTTGAAAGCAGTGGAAGGAGAGAGTCAGATTACACATTAAAATGTAATTCCTCCTGCTCCATCAGTAGTTACAGGTAATATTAAGCAGTAACTATCCAAACATAATTTTAAATTTGTAGAACCATTACCTGAATTCAAAAGTGAAGGAAAAATTTGCCTAGGACTCCTCAGAACCAGAAAGCATAAAGGAAGCTTCAAATGACACCAGACCCACAATAATGCAAAAGAATGAGTGGTTTGATACAGAAAACTATAGACTCATTAGCTTCCTATCAGTCTTAGGCAAAATCATGGAAAAGTTGATATGGCGTAATCATTAGAGTAATTGATAAAATCGTTCATATTATTTTTATAGAACTGTATTATGCCAAATAAACTTGCTATTATTTTTGTGGTATCAAGGGATTGTTGAGAAAAGAGGCTCTGCTGGCATACTATACTTAGCCTCCTATAGAGCATTTGATTCTGATAAAGAACAAAATAGCACAATGCAAAATCAATATCACCCATATTTAATGGATTAAAAATGGATTACAGGCTGATCACAAAAAATAGCTGTAAATATGAATTATCCTCAATGAGACTAATTCTCATGAGCTCCTCCCAAGGTTTGCTCTATTTTCAATATACCCCCCAGGGAAAGAGAAAATTACTGTTGGCAACAGCCAGAGATGACAAAAACAGGGGCACAATAAATAATGATTTGAGCAGCTCAGTACTGGAGAATAACCTGGAGGACAGAAAAGTTAAAAACCCAGGAGAGATGGCAGCAAGTCCAACTTAGTAGCATGGGGAGTACGCAATAACACAGTGGCTGTGAAGGTGTCATAAATTATCTGTTCAGCATCAGCCCCAGAGATGCCTTTGCCAACTGGGATGTAGGACCAGTGATGCCATTCCAGTCTTTCAAGAAAGGTATCAACAACCTGGGAAGATTATTTTCAATAGTTCCCAGTGTCATTCAAGGGCAGGAAAACAGGTCTTATTATAGTGTCAAACTAATGAAGCTCCAGCTATTAATTTATCTCAGAAGCAATTTGAAGCGGTGACTTGATCCCCGTCTGCAATCACAATCTTCTACCTGGGCAGGGAAACGCTGTCTGAAGGCAGGTGGCTCTTCTGTTTGGAGGAAAAGGGAATGGTGTGCTCTGCTGGTTGGAAACTGATTTCAGGCTAGAAATTAAGTGCAAATACTCAACAGGGAGGATAATTACCAGTGGAGACAACTTACTCAGTTACGTGGTATGTTCTCCATCACATAAAGTCTTTAAATGTATGCACAGTATTTTTCTAAGTCAAAAAGCTCTACCTCAAACTGAAGCCCAGGCTTGGTGCAGCAATTACTGGATGAAGTTATTAGGCATGTGTTATGCAAGGATTAGACTAGATCATCAGATGTAAACTTCTGAATTAAAAAAATTTAAAATATCCTGAAGTTTCCAATATTACAGGAAGGCAGGGCGATCTATATCCTCTTTTTTTTCTCTTCCCCACAAAATGGTATTAATTTAAACAGCTTCTGTGGAAAGCTGTGCATTTGGTATGAGCATCACTAGATCTGCTCAAGTTGTAAGGTTCTGCTGCACATATTTAAAGGAAGAGAACTGGACAAGAAAGGACAACAAAACCCTTGGACATACCAAGAGTCTGCAGCTTTTCATTGATGGCAGCCTGGGACAAAATGCTGCATGCAAATGATGGGGCCATGTAGATGTGTAGTCAAAGCAAGGCACAACAGCTGTGGGTTTGCCTCTTAAGGAGGCAGCATCTTGCTGGCAAGAAACAGATTTTCGTGCCTGCAACAAGTGGCAGAGAAGCTGCAGTGCTGATGGAGAGGGTGATTGTATCACTGTGCAGCTGGGCACAGCACACAGGTTCCTTGCTTCAATGACAGCAAACTTCTGCTCTCATGAGGAGCCCCACTGGAGCTGGGTAATAAAGCCCTGCAAGTGAAATTACATCAGTGGGATTACCCAGAGACATGACAGCTGCTCCCAGCAGTGGGTTTTTGCCAGATTGGGTCCCATTACCATTGGCTGGATTGAATGTTGTACTTCAGAAATAAGCAAAGGAGTACTTGGTGTCTGATTCAGATCTCACAAAACCACTGTTGATGTGCACAAGGCAAGTGTGAGCCACTGGAGTCACCGTCCATGTGCTTCATCAACTGTGGGGAAAGCACAAACTGGATGTACAGTCCAAAGAGTAAACAGTTCACACAAACAAGGGAAACTATAAAAGCATTATTTACTGCAGATTGTTACTGGACACCTTGCAGCTCTGGAGGAGAGTGTTCTGTGACAGGCATGGCTGGGGCCAGCTGGGATGGGGTGAAGCTGGACTGGCACATGACTCTGACATCTGCTTCTGCCACCATTATCACAGCTCAGGGTCAGGCCAGGCTCAGTCTAAGAAGGAAATGAAAAGCTCCTTTCTGGTACTAATTCCAAATATATCTAAATAGTTTCTCAGAAAATAAAAATCCTCTGTAGTTGTTACACCTCTAATCACATTCCTTCTATTAAGCATTTGCCTTGAATTTATCTATTTAATATCATGAGTCACCAAATTAAATAGCAAAACACAGGGATTTTTATAGCAGAGAGATTGGTATTGCAGCAAAACTGCATGTAAGCAATAAGAAGCTGTGCAGGGAAGGAAAAAACCCTCAGATTGTTCCCATCAGATGCTTAGGGGACTTGCTAAGTTGGTTGGGTTTTTTTCAATATTGAGAGGGCAGCTTTACATCTAGGCAGAAGTTTTCCTTACTGAGCCAGGCTTTGGTCTCAAGAGCAGATAGAGAAAGAAATGTTTGGAGTCCTTTTGTCACTTTGTCTGCTTCCCTTGTATGTAAGAGGCTTCTTCTCTGCACTTCTGAGAAAGGTGGAGAGGAGATTAAGTGGCAGTAGAAGAAGCACAGAGGAACAGGAGCTTCCAGCCTATGCAAAGCATCTCAGCAGGAGACTCACATCTCATCCTTCTCCCCTGAATCCAACCCCACTGACCAAGGGGAGGAATGGAGCCATGCTGGGCTAACACAGGCAGAGAGCCGTGCTCAGTCTGTGCTGAGCAGCTCCTGCAGCCACGGCAGGAGACATTTCCTGGCAGGACTGGACAATCCCCTGGTGATGGGAATGACCAGCATTTCCCCAGAGAGGATGTGTCCTCTCAGGAGAAGACTCCTTTGCTTTGCACTAAGCTTCAGGGATGCTTGGCAAGGCTAAGATGGGTATTTTTAAATTTCTCACAGATATTGCAGAATCTGAAGGTGGCAGGGCAGTACCTTGGGACATGCTGGGCTTTGCTTTCATTTCTTGTAGGTGCTGCAGCTACCTGGACCTGCCTTGAAATTATTGTTTCTTTTTCACTGTCTGGGTAAGATGGGAGGAATGCCTGCCTGGCTCTGCACACCATAAACCAGCAAAGAGGACTCTAAATTTGGGGTCCTCTGCTTTGGGGAGTTGAATTTAGGGTTATTTGAACATGACCTTGAGGATGTCAGGCAGCTGGAACTGCAGTTGCACCTGAGTTGTCTCCAAAGGCTGCTTCCCAAAAAGGAGCCCATGGACAGAATCAGATCCCAGGCTGTGCTGGTGCATCCACATCGGCCTCTGATGATGGACATGAGCTGCAGGGAGTTACAGGGAGGCTGGGATCAAGGTGCTGGGAGATCTGGTCTCCTGATGCAGGACATGGGATGCAGAAAGGCTGACTGTGAGCCCTTGGCCATGGTCGAAGCAGTCATTGAAGCCAGCAAGCCGTGTCTGGTCCTGCTGCCTTGGGACTCAGTTCTGCCTTAGATTCACTAAGGAAATACTCTAAGCCAATGATCTCCTTTTAATGTTAACTTGGTTGATAATCTAGGAAGATGCCAGCACTCTAATGCTTATAAAGTGACACACTGTTATTCCCAGTACATCTATGGCTGAACTTTTTAACGATGGAGCCAAATGAGGTGGCATGAGACAAAAGTGTGCCTTTTTGTTTGATGTACACTGCGTTTCCCCAGGCATCCAAGGTGTTCAGCTGCACAGCAGTGCTTTTTTCCCAAAACAAAACTTATCATGCAAACTAATTTTTAGTATACAAAGTGGCCATCACTTAATTCCAACTTACAGCTTTTATATTCAGTCTTTACTTCTGTTTTCAAAAATCAACAAAAATAAAGCCCGGGCGGGAGGGAGGAGTTCTTTTAAACAATAAAATTAAAACCAATATCAAGTTTTTGGTATCTTTGGGCATGATCTCTGGAAGCTTTGGGTATCTGCTTTATCATTTTGTATATTTGACAATTTTGTACTCTGCATTGTTTGACTTCATTTGTGCATGGCAATGTATTAAAACATGGAATTTTTATTATACAGTAAAAGTATTTTGTTTGATTTAAATAAGATCAAGCTTGATCCAGGTCATGAACAGTAGGGGAAAAACCCCAGAATTTTCTCTGGATACAATTCTCACCTGGCAGCCCAAGCATTCTCATTCAGGTTGTTTCCAAGACCTGAAGGTGGGCAGAGCTTTTTGCCCACCCTCAGGTCTCCTTCCCCAGTGGCAGTCCCTGGCGCTGTGCAGTGAATTGCTGCACGGGTGCAGGGGTTGCCCAAATGCAGCACAGCACAGCTGGACCTGAGCAAAGGGCTCTGCTCTGCTGGGCAGGGCTTGGCTGGGAATCCAGACCAGCTCTTCTGGTTTTGCTTTAGTGCAGTGCAACAGTGAGCAGACACTGCACACTGTGAGGAAGAATTCTCCTTTCACTGCCCTTATTTCTCAAGACTTGGGGAATGCCCTTGTCAGCAACGAAGCATCCTCCAAGGGGATCAAAAGAAGCAGGTACTAGACTGTTTATGCTGTGAGGCATTTCACTTCCATCCCACCCGCCCCATTTATTCTCAGTATTTATGGCATGCAAGCAATTTAAAAGTCAATGGATTAGGTAGCTTTCACAAAAATGCTGAAATGATGAAATTCCAGCATGATATTATGCTCTTCCATATATGTAGGTTTTTCTTTTCATCCATAATTCTGAATATTCTCACATTTGTAAGGCAGAGACTGATGACATGTTTTGGTCAAACACAAAACACTGGATTAATACAAAATAGTAGAACAAAATTATATAGTGTAAGCTATAACTGACATAGACAAGATAATTTGTCATCTTAAAAAATCATAAATCATGTTTTTTATTTTAGCATCTCATGATGGGACTGCAATTTACTAAATTCTGTTTATATCTTTAAAAAGCTTTTTACTCCATAAACCTTGTCAGTGAGAAGAAAGTGTTAGCAGGGAAAGCTCTGCTTTTGAACAGATCTGTGCACATTACTTCTTGGGCTGAGGGAAATAAAAACAAGAAAGAGAAAGTTGCTATGTCACATCCCCTTTTCACCATCAGAGTCTCCCTAGGGGTTACAGTGGTGCCATATTATTACAACTCTTGTGCTGCACGCTAGGATTTTTTCCATTACAAACAATATGCCACCTAAACCAGATCTGCTTTATAATGAAACAGCAGCTGTCATGACCATGAAATATTTCTCCCTGGTGGCACAGGAAATATTAGCTGAAGCTGTGGGCAAGGCGTTTCCATTTGTGCCCATAGGAGTTTGGCGTTACAAATCCTGGCGATGGGGTCGCAGTTTCTTTATGCACAGTTTGTCAGAAGCCATCAATGGAGTCACCAATTGTACAGTTCATTCTTCCTGGTCATTTCCTTCCAGTGGCAATCAGTTCTTGATGAAACTTGCATGACCTTGTGTTATACCCATG